TTACAGATCCATCCCCGCCTCCTCCAGATTATTACAGATCCATCTCCACTTGCTCCAGATTATTACAGATCCATCTCCGCCTCCTCCAGTGGTCCCGAACATTACAGATACCAGTCTTCAACCAATTCAATTCACTCCACATGATAGCAAGAAACAGTTGGAACACTGGATGCTGCAAAGGTTATGGGCCCTGACAACATTCCGGCAATAGTACTGAAGACTTGTGCTCCAGAACGTGCTGCTCCCCCTGGCCAAGCTGTTCCAGTACAGTTACAACACTGGTATCTACCCAACAATGTGGAAAATTGCCCAGGTATGTCCTGTACACAAAAAGCAGGACAAATCCAACCCGGCCAATTATCGCCCCATCAGTCTCCTCTCGATCATCAGGAAAGTGATGGAAGGTGTCAGTAACAGTGCTATCAAGCAGCACCTGCTCAGCAATAACCTGCTCAGTGACGCCCAGTTTGGGTTCCGCCAGGGCCACTCAGCTCCTGATCTCATTACAGCCTTGTTTCAAACATGGACAAAAGAGCTAAATTCCAGAGGTGAGGTGAGAGTGACGACCAATTGTGGCATCAAGGAGCCTGAGCAAAACTGGAATCAATGGGTATCGGGGCAAATTCTCCAGTGGTTGGAGTCATGCCTGGCATATGGGAAGATGGTGGACAGGCTTTGGGGAGTCAGGAGGTGAGTTCCTCATTGCAGTATTCCCAACTTCTGACCTGCTCTTGTAGCCACTGTGTTCATGTGGTGAGACCAGTTGAGTTTCTCATCAATGATAACCCCCAGGATGTTGATAGTGGGGGATACAGCAATGGTAACACCATCGAATGACAAGGGGTGGTGTCTCTTATTAGAGATGGTCATAGCCTGGTATTTGTGTGGCGTGATGTTACTGGCCACTTGTCAGCCCAAGCATGGATATTGTCCAGATCTTGCTACATGTGAACATGGACTGTTTCAGTGTCTGAGGAATCACAAATGGCACTGAACATTGTGCAATCATCAGTGCAGAAGCACTGAGGTTGGCAAGGGCAAAGAATGTATGCTGGGTGAGGTCCAATGTGGAAAGAAGGATTAGCCATTATCTTTCCTCTAATGATAAACCATCCTTGAATCGACGGCTGGCCAGTGATGATGAAGGCATGAATATTAACCATTGAGCATGTGCATAAGCAGCTCTGTCATGTTAATGGTAGATACATGTAACTGGGATCTAAATGTGGGAGTTTCCAGTGTTGTCCTCCCCCACACTCTGTAAAAAGTTGTACTTAGCAAAGATTGTTGTTCTTCATGTAAATGGATGTGACCTACCATCTCTCAGAAAACCCAGATATGATCATACAACATGCAAGAGTGGCAGCCTCAATAAAGGGGAGTTACAGATCGAGCTGGTCCGGTCCTAAAGGAAGCAGCTGCTAGACTGGGTCTGCGGCAGGTGGTGAGGGAACCAACAAGAGGGAAAAACATACTTGACCTCATCCTTACCAATCTGCCAGCTCCAGTTGCATCTGTCCATGACAGTATTGGTAAGAGTGACCATCGCACAGTCCTTGTGGAGACAAAGTCCTACCTTAGCATTGAGAACAACCTCCATCGTGTTGTGTGGCACTATCACCGTGCTAAATGGGACAGACTTCGCACAGATCTAGCAACTCAAGACTGGGCATCCATGAGGCGCTGTGCACCACCAACAGCAGCAGAATTGTACTGCAGCACAATCTGTAACCTCATGGCCCAGCATATCCCCCACTCAACCATTACCATCAAGCCAGGGTATCAACCCTGGTTCAATGGAGAGTGCAGGAGGGCATGCCAGGAGCAGTACCAGGCATACCTGAAGATGAGGTATCAACCTGGTGAAGCCAGCAAACAGGACTACCTGCACGCCAAACAGCAAGTGATATACATAGCTAAGCAAACCCACAACCAGCAGTCCTGACATAAATGATGGTGGGCTGATATTTTGATGTTTAAATAAAAAGACTTTTATCTTGAGTAAATGAGAACTGTTTAATTCTGTAGGCTGCTTGAGGTGGAAGAGGCCTATTGGTTCCCTTATGCATCACATATGTATCGAGTCTCAATTGTATCCATGTTCCACCTGATACACTGATAACATCAGTTCCCAGCTCAAATCAACAACTCTGTGTATACAGTATACAAGTATATGTATAAAAATATTTATCATAGACAATTAAACAACTCACTGGAGGAGGAGGCTCCACAAATAACCCCATCCTCTGTGATGGGGAATTCAACACGTCAGCACATTTTCGCACAAAGGAATGTGGATGCAGCAGCTTAGGGCCTATTTATCGAGCTATTGTGAACAGGCCTGAGACTAAAGGTGATATAGAAATGCAGACCAGCGGATCTCACCCACTGGCTGCAGAGCTGGTATGAACGTTGTCATCTCCTTTAAGGATGGTCTCCTTTATTAAGTGCCAGTCATGTGATCAGCAGCAGGCCGCACCACTCCTCGGGATCATATACTGTAAAAAATGGTCCAACCAGAGCCAATAGCCCATTGGAGGCTGAAAGTTGTCCAATAGAAGCTGGTGATGTTGTTTCCAGCATCGGCCCCACTTGAGGCTCAGGGGCAGAATGGGGCAGAGGGGAGAGATAGTGGCAATGGATCAGATGGTTACAGATTGTTAGGTGGGAGGGTGGGATGTAGGGGGCTTGAAGGCAAGTACAGGAAGGTGGCTTCCAATGATTGCTGACTATCCCTCCATCCGAATGTGGGCACCTGTAATTGCTCGGGAGCACGCGCACAGACAGACACATACACACACGTATACAAACACACATACACATGTAAACACACACTGGTATATACAAACGCATACACACACATACTCATACACACACACTTGTATACACACACAAACTCGTACACACACACAGACACACACTCGCACACACATACAGACACACACTCCCCACAGAGACACACACTCGTGCACGTACAAACACACACTCACTCACGCACCCACAGAGAGGACATTCTGCTTCTCCACATCTGTGTGGTGACCCTCTTGCCCATTGCTGGCTGAACGCCACTGGTGGGGGCATGATGCCCTTAACTGGGTATTAATTGCCCACTGATAGACCTCAGTTTAGTGGTTCAACTGGCCTTCCCACACTAAACTGAGGTGAGAAACCTGTCGAATGCCCAGCCACTGATACCCTCCATGTCAATTAAAAAAAACGTTCAAACACCCGCCATATCCTTTATATTCATTCACGGGAGGGACCAGGCCATCATTTATTGCCCAGAGGGCAACTGAGAGTCACTCACACTGATGTGGGTCTGGAGTCACATGTAGGCCACACCAGGTGAGGATGGCAGTTTCCTTCCCTAAAGGACATTAGCGAACCAGATGGATTTGCATGGCATTGGCACCATCATTTAGGTGGGCTTTCTGATCCCAATTCTGATCCTAGTGAATTTGAATTCCTCCAGCAGTTGTGTTGAGATTTGATCCTGTTTCCTTCATCCGATGGCCCTACCACGACACCAGCATCTTCCCTAATGAATAAGAACAGCAAGATCATCTGACAATTCAGAACCTCAATAAGAAACAAACAACGCTAATGGGCCAGAGGAGTGATGGCAGGATCAGGGCGAGCATTTGCAATTGAAACGTTACCTCATCAAAACATAGGAGATAGAAGCAGGAGGAGGCCATTCAGCCCTTCAAGCCTGCTCCACCATTCATCACAATCATGATTGATTGTCCAATTCAATAGCCGAATCCTGCTTTCTCCCCATAACCTTTGATCCCATTCAGCCCAAGTGCTTTATCTCGTCGGCTCTTGAATACCTTCAATGTTTTGGCATCAACTGCTCCCTGTGGTAATGAATTCCCGCCCCTCAATCCTGTGTTATTCCAAACAGTTTTGTACCATTTCCTTAAGTCACCTCCACTCCCACCCAAGGTGAAAATTTCACCACAAATTCCTCATCAGCGTGAACTTTAAAAAATAATATCCCTGGGCAGTGAATTCCACAAACTCTCTGAATACCTGTTCGCCCACGCTAACTCAACACTGACATTAGGGCGTTGTTTCAGTATGGAGATAAAGCCTCCACTTATAATTATATACACACTTTCTCGTTGAGACACACGTCTTAATGGGCTGAGCTTCTTTTCTGAACTTTAAGGTAAATAAGTCTCAAACACCAGGAAGTGGCTGAAAATATTTGAAGGGCGTGACTTTCTGGTGATAGCGTTTATTTTGTCAATTCTGTGAGAGGTTCTTCTGTGACAATCTTCACCTGTGGCCTTGGGTTTCGAGGAAGGGAGCACCTTGAATGTTGGTGAGTAAAATTCCAGCTGAAAGTTACACGAGGAGGCTCGCAGTTTGTATCGAAATGATGTTAATGAAGTAAGATGCTCAATCACTCAAAGGCTGGTAAATATCGAACAATCAACTGGGCTCTTGAATAAGGAAGTAGCTGTGTTGGGATGTTCTGTACTGCACCGGCTCTCTCTGTCTGTGTGTGTGTTGCCTTCAGGGTCAGGAATCTATGAATGTCAAGAGCTGGTACTTACGTCGAGTTTGACTTTCAGTCAAAACACTGGAACAAGAAAGGTAGGGAGATCCATTTTACAGCCTGGAGGTGTATACACCCTTGCGGTGGAGTAAGGAACGAAAATTAGGTTAGAAAACTTTTTTGTAGTTTTGTTTGAACTAAGGCGTGCATTTGGTACACGCGACCTGATCGTGTTGCTATCGTTCAGAGCTGCCATCGAAGGGATGTGCACAGAAAATGGGGAATTATTTGCAGGTTCTCTGGTGACCTGGTGCCGATGTGTGGCTTGTGTGTGACACTATCACTCCACATGAGAGGTTCTGGCTGTTCACATCACTCCACCGTCCCCCCCCCCCCCCAAAGACTGCCACAATTTTACACCGTTTAGTATCAATCCCAGTTCAGAGACAGTGACATGTGAGCCGAGAAATTGATCAGGAAATATATGTTAAAGTGTATTGATAATGTGAATAGGCTTTATTTGGACAAACGGACAGACTGTGATGAATAGAAGTAAGTTGAAAACGTATTAAGAAGACATTATTCAAGTGATTAAATTTGTTAAACACAGATTAATACACCCCTCCCTATCTCTGTAACCTCCTCTGGTCCCTACACCCCTGCCCAACTCTGTACCTCCTCCAGCCCCTAAAGATACCCAAGATCTCTGTGTTCCTCCAATTCCAGCCTCTTGAGACCCAATGATTTCTATTGATCTCCTGTTGGTGTCCTTGCCTTCAACTGTATGGGTCCCAAGCCTTTGAATTACACCACCTTAAACTATTCCCCCCACCTCGCATCTGACTTCCTGAAACTCCTTACAACCTTTGACTAAGCTTTTGTTCACTCTTGTTTGTAAGGTTCAAATATCGTCAAATGGTCTTTTATAATATTCCAGAAAAGCACCTCAGCCTAAAGGTGCCAATCAAATATCAGTTGTTGTAGTACTTGTGAGTAATTGATTCTGAGTTAGGTTGGGGAGCTTGGCTGAGTGTGGTGCGGGTCGCTGAGGGCCAGTTTAAGGGCAGTGGTGTCGGTAAGGAATTAGTTTCCTAATAGATATAGACAATTCCTACAGCCAGAGTCTGGCACTGCCTGGATACTACAGAATGCCACAAAATATTGTGGAGCAACACATTCCTCTACATCGCCGAGGCCAGACGCCAACTCTCGGACACCTCCTCCTACCGCCCCCTTGATCATGACCCCATCCCCGAGCACCAAACCATCATCTCCCAAACCATCCACAACCTCATCACCTCAGGTGACCTCCCACCCACAGCCTCCAACCTCATCGTTCCCCAACCCCACACCGCCGGCTTCTATCTCCTTCCCAAAATCCACAAACCTGACTGCCCTGGTCGACCCATTGTCTCCGCCTGCTCCTGCCCCACCGAACTGATCTCCAACTATCTGGACTCCATTTTCTCCCTCTTGGTCCAGGAACTCCCTACGTACGTCTGTGACACCACCCACGCCCTCCACCTCCTCCAGAACTTCCAATTCCCTGGTCCCCAACACCTCATCTTTACCATGGACGTCCAGTCCCTATACACCTGCATTCCCCATACAGATAGCCTAAAGGCCCTCCGCTTCTTCCTGTCCCGCAGGCCCGACCAGTCCCCCTCCACTGACACCCTCATCTGCTTAGCCGAACTCGTCCTCACCCTCAACGACTTCTCTTTCAATTCCTCCCACTTCCTACAGACAAAGGGGGTGGCCATGGGTGCCCGCATGAGCCCAAGCTATGCCTGCCTCTTTGTAGGTTATGTGGAACAATCCCTCTTCCGTACCTACGCTGGCCCTAAATGCCACCTCTTCCTCCGTTACATCGATGACTGTATCGGCGCCGCCTCGTGCTCCCACGAGGAGCTCGAACAGTTCACCCACTTCACCAACACCTTCCATCCCAACCTTAAGTTCACCTGGACCATCTCTAACACCTCTCTCACCTTGCTGGACCGCTCTGTCTCCATCTCGGGCAACCACCTAGAAACCAATATCCATTTCAAGCCCACCGACTCCCACAGCTACCTAGAATACACCTCCTCCCACCCACCTTCCTGCAAAAATGCCATCCCCTATTCCCAATTCCTTCGCCTCCGCCGCATCTGCTCCCAGGATGAGGCATTCCACTCCCATACATCTCAGATGTCCTCGTTTTTCAAGGACCGCAACTTCCCCCCCCGC